CAAATTGAGTTTAATTTTTACAAGTCATTGGAAAGTGTATAAACTTAAGTGATTCTAATTGTATTGATTAGCTTTCAAAATATTGATTCGATTTCTCATCAGATTCGATATTCCATCTTGCCTTATTGCATATCCAATCTTTTCAGTAACGGTTCGTTTAGACGACCTAGTTTCTCGGGTACTTCGACATAAATTTTTAAACTAATTTTTAAGCGCCGACTCTATTTAGAAATTAGTGATCTATTCAACCCCCTTCTAGATCATTGTCATCGTCTAACAATAGAGCCTCGGGTGCCTCCAGAGTCTCGGATGCCTCGGGTGCCTGAACAGGTGACACTTGTCTCCTACTAGAAGACGAGGACAAAGAAGCACGAGACCCAGAAGTTGACGCCCCACATTAACCGGGCTAGAAATGATAGGTGCCCGCGATGATCGAGTTTTTTCTCTCTGAATCGATGTATGTTGTGCAACTCTGCCATGCCTCAATCTATTTAGGTTATCATCCATAATGTCTATAAGTAAACCATGCAAGCATTGTACAAGTGAAACACAATGAGATAAAGCCAAACAAAGCAGACTAATAAATTTTGAAGATGCATATTTGAACTCTAGAGACCAAAATGCTGAAAAATTTCGGAGATGCATCTTCGTAAGTTTCTATAACCCTGGATGACATTAATGGGAGAAATGCAGTCTATTTAAACATCTAAAATAATGCATTGATCATTAAAACTATATATCAAACATGTTGCTCATGTAAATATCATATATACACTATATATTTCATAACCTAACCCTCGATTTCTATAAATGTATAGAAAATAAAAAAAAAATTTAAAAAAATAAAAAACTTATCAAATGTGAGTTTAGTTCGATGTTGAGTGAGCTTTTTGATTGACTTGATGTTGATGGAAGAAACTTTGAAGTGCATTAAATGATTTTGAAAGAATGTGAGTTAAGAGAGTTTGAGAGATTTGAGAGTTTGAGAGATTTGAGATTTTGAGAGGGTATGCTGAAAAGTGAAGAAAAAGAAATGGTCTGACACGTTTTTTATTAAACATCCGAAAATGCATTTCTATAAAAGAAAAATTTGATTACTTTATAGCCTGACTAAGAAACTTATCTATTTGGGATGCTTCTGGAATTGAATCTCTAAATTCTAAAAATATGTTTTTATTTTTTCCGAAAGTATAATAGCAATTCATATGGGTGCTTTAAGCAATTCCCTTTAAAAAAATATAGAATTCTAATTTAAAGCCCAACCCAAATTCTTATGAGTAGGCCGATCATTCAGAAAAGACAAAAGTAAATACATTTCAAAAATTAAAACCCTAAATCAACAAATCAGCAGCTACTGAACTCCAATCGCCGGTAAAAGCAAAAGTTAGCCAGAAAACACTGACGGAGTTGCTCTTCGGCTACCAGAAACAACGAGAAATCCAGGTTTCCTTTTTTTTCTTATTCTCGTTAACATAATTCCCAACCTTTACTTTTTCTAATCAACCAATAGTTAATAACTCCATATCTCACTTTATAGGATACAAATTTTCGTTTTTTAGGGTTTGTATTGATTTCACCAACACCGTGTATAGTAGTTTAGGGTTTTTTCCACCAAACAGATTAATTGAATCTTATCTTGAAAAAAATACTGTATCTCTTTGTATTACAATTATAATTATAATGTAACCCTAATCAAACACTTAAAATATTGTATACAGATTTCATCTCCAAGTAATTTGCATTTCAGAGGATATAGTTGTAGCAGTTTGTGTTGTCACATAGTGTAAGAAATGTCTACGAACATTTTTGATGGCAGTGATTCGGAAAATGATGATATTTCAAAAATTGAGATAAACCAGGATTATGCTCGTAGGTTTGAGCATAATAAGAGGCGGGAGGATCTCCATCGTTATGAAGAGTTAAAAAAGAAGGGTGTTATTGGTTCTGAAGATGATGAATCAGACTCAGGATCATCTGATGATGACTATGAGAAAAGTTTTGATTCTAGGAGTGATAAGAAATTCTTTGAAGCGTTGATTAAGGTGAAGAAGAAGGATCCTGTTCTTAAGGAAAAGGATGTTAAGCTTTTTGAATCTGATCATAGTAGTGAAGACGAAAGTGAGGATGAGAAGAGTGAGTTAAAAGATAAGGGGAAAAAGACAATGTATTTGAAGGATGTGATAGCAAAGCATTTGATTGAGGAGGGGGCGGATTTTGGCGATGAAGAGGAAGAGAAAGGTATACCAAAGAGTGGTAAGGGTAAAAAGGCGATGTCTGTGATTCAGGAAGAGACAGGTTTTGTGAATAGGGATGGGAAGAAGAGTTATGTAGATGAGCAAGAGGAGTTGAAAAGGGCTTTTCATGAAGCAGTAGAAAAAGATGGTTTAGAAGACGGGGAATGGGATTTTATCAAAGTGAAGGAGAAGGGAGGTGAAGACCAAGTAGAGAGTGAAGATAAGGAACTTGATGAGAAACTGGATGAATATTTCGGTAGAGATGCAGAAGCGAATGAAAGTTCTAAATTTCTAAGAGACTATTTCAAGAACAAAATGTGGATAGACAAGAATGTGGAGAATTTGAATGTCGGAGAGGAAGATTTTCAAGAAATTTCAGAGGATGAGATAGAAATTGAGAGGCAGGAAGAGTATGAGCATAGATTTCAGGAAAATCCGGGAGATAGAGTGTTGGGTCATGCTCGTAAGGTGGAGGGGTCAGTGAGGAAAAAGACAAATACAAGGAAAGAGCAGAGAAAGAGCAAAGAGGAGAGAATGGCAATAGCACAAAAGGAAAGGGAGGAGGAGTTGAAACATTTAAAGAATGTCAAGAAGCAGGAGATACGGGAGAAGGTTAAAAAGATAATGAAAACTGCAGGGATCGATGAAGATGATGTTATTCCTTTGTCTGCTGTAGAATTAGAAGAGGAGTTTGACCCAGAGGAGTATGATAGAATGATGAAGAAAGCATTTGATGATAAGTATTATAATGCAGAGGATGCTGACCCTGAATTTTGTAGTGAGGACGAAGAAGACATGGAGAAGCCGGATTTTGAAAAAGAGGATGAATTACTCGAGCTTCCTAAAGGCTGGGATGAATCTGGATCTGATGGTGGGTTTTTGGCTGCAAGAGAGAAAGCTTTGAAAGAAAAGGTTGAGATTACTAGTGACGATGATGTTGTCAAAAGTGAAAATGAAAAAGAAGAAATTCCGGACGAAGGTAGTAGTCGGAAGAGGAAGCGTAAAACAGCACTTTTGGAGAAAGCTAGACAGGCAATGATGGATGAGTACTATAAACTAGATTACGAAGACACAATTGGGGACCTGAAAACAAGATTCAAGTATGCCAAAACAAAGCCCAACAAATTTGGCATTAGTTCCCCCGAGATACTATTGATGGATGACAAGGAATTGAATCAATTCATTTCCTTGAAAAAACTTGCTCCTTACCAGGAGGAGGAATGGAAGCTTAGCAAACAAAAGAAATACATGCTGAAGATGAGGGCTAAGGAAATCCTTCGTGCAGCAAGTATGGATAAGAAGAAAAGTAAGAAGCCAAAGGTTGGTTTTAGCAAGATAACTTCATCAAACAATGTTGTGGAGGGTGAAAAAGCAAACACAACAAGTTTGGATAAGAAGAAAAATAAGAAGTCAAAGGTTGATTATAGCAAGATAACTTCATCAAGCAACGTTGTGGAGGATGAAAAAGCAAATGCGGCAAGTTTGGATAAGAAGAAGAATAAGAATTCAAATGTTGATTCTGACAAGTCAACTTCATCAAACATTGTTGTGGAGGATGAAAACGCAAACACAGAAGAATCAAAATCAAAATCAAGGAAAGCCAAGAGAAGGGAAAACATGGCTAATTTAAAGTTACCAGCGTCAAGGCTTAAAGCATATGGAAAGACAACCTGAAAATCTAAGCGTGGTGGCAAGTAGAAGTCGATGGTTTGAGCAGGTAATTCCTTTAGTATGAGGTTAATTTGAATATGTATACAAATGTTGGCAGCTATTGTTAAATAATGGTGATTTTGTAAACATTTCCATTTCCTTTATAGTAAAAGGCAATTAAATTTAAATTAATATAATGCCTGTGATATTGGATTACTTTTTTCTTATAAAAAAGTTGCATCCCTTTGTATCATTTTTCATTCTGTTAATAATAGCATGTTTGTGTTTTCACTGTTTTGCAGTATTCCCATACTCTTGTATAAGATTTTGGACATTCCAAAGGACAATGTGCTGGCCCAAGTTTTGTCTGTGGAGAAGTTTTTGTCTTTCTAGTTTTCTCCATTAAATGTGTAATTTATGTATGGAATTCTCAGTTATAGTCAAACTGTCTTTGGGATCAGCAATTCATTTTTGACAAAAACTTGTTTTTGTAATATTTGTGTTTCCAAAATTGCATTCAGAATAGTACTGATTTAGGCTATTCCCAAGTTACTTGTAATTGCAAAACAAAAATAAGAACAAACTGTTATTTTTTTCTTTCAAAATGCCCATTGGTAAGCAAATTTGTAGTAATACTCAATTTTGGATGAATTTATGATAAGTTGCCATAGATAGGGTCTTATTTTTTTCACACCCTTAGGAATGTTGTGTACTAGTGTGAATTTTTTGAACTGTCGTGGATATGATTGGTTTTATACGCCGCCACAAGCTCGCTGTTATTACAAGGCTGAGAATGATAGGTTTCATAGAGCTCGCAGCGATGCTATGGTGAGTTGGTTGTTGAAATCGGTAGATTCGATTGAGAAGAAATGTGAGAGGTGAGTCTGTATACAACTCAAATCACTCCAAAACTTTATAAATTAACAAGATAATTTGTTCACAAACTTGAAAGTCTATTTATAGTTAGAAAAGAAAAAAAAATCAGTATTTCACTAACTGACTGAAGGAAATAAAACAAAAATATAATAGTGTTTCCTTCAAATTTGAAATGGAGAAAAAAACAAACCAAAAGTATATCAAAATTTTCCGCACACTTATAATTCTACTATTTTACTGTCAACTTTCTTCTACTACTAGTTCATTCATCTTCCTGTCAATTGTCTCAGAACATATCTGATGCATCAATCCATAAAAAGACACCAATTCTGTTATCTGTTCAACAGACATATTTGACATCATGTTCCTAGCTGCCTTCTCCCTCATCTGATTCATTTTCATCTTTTGTGCATAACTCGAACCGTTTCTATATGTTGCACCAACCTGCTTTAGCCTATTCTCCTGCTGCAAACTTAGTGCTGTACTTGCCTGTAAAACCAAGCAATTATCACATAAAGATAAATCGAGTTTATACTAACTAATCTCTAAAGTATATAAAATTTGGCAATACAGTTCGCGCTATTACGAAGTTACGAACCAACATGATGGGTTTTTATATATACTTTAGCGACATAATCCATGTAACGAGTAGAGCTTTTGAGTAACCTGTAAAAAGTCTGCTCCAGGTTGAAGTACAGAACTTTGGCTCACATCGACATGAGAATCGGACTTATACATGTCTCTAGCGACCGAAAAGCTTTTCACAATCTGTTTTCGCTTTTGCTCAAGTTCCTCATTTAGCTTTGGACACTTGGGGACAAGTATTGAGCTGCTAAGTTTTTTCTCATAAGCTATTACAGCTTTTGCAAACTCCTATTTCACAAACATTAACAAAAATGATTCAGTTTTATTTCTTATAGAAATTTGACATCATTGCAAAAAGAGTAAGAAGAAAAAGTGTATATACCTGATAAGCCATACTGCATCCAGGATAATAAAATTCATCACTGTCATGGTTCCTCATTCTCTCTGGATGAAACTGAAGTCCCATAATAAATTTACCATCTTCAGGACTATAATTATCCGGATCATAAAATCCTTCAATCAAACCATCTGGTGCAAATGCCATTGGAACAAATCTCTGTGCTAATCTCTTAACACCTTGATGGTGGTAACTATTCACCATGATCTCCATTTTCTCATCCACAAAAGAATCTTTAAACCAGTCATGCAAAGGAGTGTTTGCGATAACATTTATCGAATGCCGATGTCCATCATAATTTAGATAGTCCATATGAACCACTCTTTGAAAGTCATGGTTTTTCTCAACTATCTCTCTGTCTATATCTTGGTAAAGTGTGCCTCCACATGAAACATTAAGAATTTGAGAGCCTCTGCATATACCCAAATAAGGTATATTTCTTTTAAGGCAGAGTTTTGCAAGCCTTAGCTCAATGGAGTCTTTTTCTTTATCAATGGCAGCATCACTTGGGTGAAGCTCCCTTATAGCCTCAAGCTCTTGAGGTGTAAGTCCACAGAGTTCAGGATCATCATAATGGGAGGGATCAATGTCCTCACCTTCACAAAGAAGAACACCGTGGATAGGCTCGAAACTGTCCAAGAGAGTGTGAATTCCAGTGACTCTAGGGACAATAATTGGAACAGCTCCATATCTTACAATCAAATCAAGATGATACTCACCTGTTCAATTCAGTGTACTACTACTTAGAATTTATTCAATACAATTATTGTTTTTTTTTAATTTAAACTTGATATCTGCGTAACTGAAAGAAACTAATATCTTCAGTTGGGAAGATGTGATCTCTACTTAAACATAAAAAAATCTTTTATATTTCTTTAAGATAAAGGAATGAATAAACAATAAAAAGTATAGTGTTACATTTGAGAAATTAAAATATTAGTAACAAGAAAGCACATGCGTGATCTAAAATGTTGATAATTGTAAGACTAATAAGTAGAAATAAAAAGAGTAAGAGAGTAATTATTACCGACAAAATCTACAAATTTGTTCTTTCGAATGGTACGTCGAGAAACGATGAGAACCCTTGGCAAAAGCAATGACAGATCAGAAGCAGCCATGGCGAGTTTGTTTGAGATTCAGTGCACAATAATTATCAAATTAAGAAAAATCACCAAATCTTATGCATATAGAAAAAGAGAAACAAAACCAGAATAATGTCCGAGTATTTTTGGTAGTTATTTTTAATAAGTTTAATTTATATGCAATGACAGTGTAAAGTAGTTTTTGACCCACCTCTAAAAAGCCCGAGGTCCGCCATGGTAAGCTCGTTTAAGACTGTGTAGCCTATATTGACATCTCTAAAACACCACATTTGTATGAATTGACAGGTAGACAAAATTGATTTTGACATAGTTGAGTTTGATACTAATTGATTTTATTAAAGTTGATTTTGACATAGTTGAGTTTGATACTAATTGATTTTATTAAAATTGAGTTTAACAATGATTTATGTTTGGATACATTTATGTAAAAGTAAGTTGAACAACAAATTTCAATGTAAAAATCAAGTTTAAACGCAGAAGGTACAAATTCTAACTTTAAGTAGAATCAATTTAGAAGGCAGAATCAATTCTACTTTAGAAGAACCAAACACCTTAAAATTACTCAAGAAACAATTATTCACCTCTAAAATCAATTTTACATAAGGAAGTTTTACCCCATACCCCTACACTTATACCTATACCCCTACATTAAAAAATTTTGGACCAAAATATCCTCGTATAAAAATTTATTATTTTTTAATTTTTTTTATATTTTTTTATTTGTTTACCGGAAGACTTTTTGGAAGTCTTCCGGTTCACATTTTTTTAGTATGTTTACCGGAAGACTTTTTAGAAGTCTTCCGGTACATATTTTTTTCGTTTGTTTACCGGAAGACTTTTTGGAAGTCTTCCGGTTCATGTTTTTTTTTTAATTTGTAATTAATATTTAAGATTTATTAATTTTATATAAAGACCAATTTAATAAATTTTTGAATATTATACTTAAAATATAAAAATTCTATAAATAGAGAATCATTTTCAGAATATTTTCTATTTACTATAATTATTAGAATACTAGTATTAAAATCATTTATTTTAAATGATCATAATAGTAGAATTTTCTCAAATATCTTATTAATCTTAAACATTAATAAATAAAATAAATTTAAATATAAGATATAAGTTTACATTATTCAATATATTTAATCAAATGAAAACATATGTGATAAATAAATAATGTATTTTAACTTAAAATGATCACAATAAGTTAACTTGCAAAATAATATAAGTAATAAATTAATAATGTATTTTATTTAAAATAATCACAATAATAAAATACGCAAATAATGTGTTTTATTTATAGGACTGATATAGTTTTATTGATTATTTAATTTTGAATACTACTATGAATATAGTATTTAATCTATACTTTAGAACTCACATAATTATAAATATAAAAAATATTGTTTTATTACCCATATTTTTATTTAATTAAAAAAAATAAGAATATAAATTTATTATTTGTTTTTCATTTTTGTTTGATATTTTTAATTATTTCACTTTATTTAATATTTTTAATAAAATAAATAATATATTTTATTTAAAGTAAGCACAGTATAGAATATGTAAAAAATTTATAAATAAAAAAAAGATCAAACGAAAATGAAAAACAAATAATAAATTTATATTCTTATTTTTTTTAATTAAATAAAAATATGGGTAATAAAACAATATTTTTTATATTTATAATTATGTGAGTTCTAAAGTATAGATTAAATACTATATTCATAGTAGTATTTAAAATTAAATAATCAATAAAACTATATCAGTCCTATAAATAAAACACATTATTTGCGTATTCTATTATTGTGATTATTTTAAATAAAATACATTATTAATTTATTACTTATATTATTTTGCAAGTTAACTTATTGTGATCATTTTAAGTTAAAATACATTATTTATTTATCACATATGTTTTCATTTGATTAAATATATTGAATAAAGTAAACTTATATCCTATATTTAAATTTATTTTATTTATTAATGTTTAAGATTAATAAGATATTTGAGAAAATTTTACTATTATGATCATTTAAAATAAATGATTTTAATCTCATTGTATTCTAATAATTATAGCAAATAGAAAATATTCTGAAAATAATTCTCTATTTATAGAATTTTTATATTTTAAGTATAATATTCAAAAATTCACTAAATTGGTCTTTATATAAAGTTAATAAATCTTAAATATTAATTACAAATTAAAAAAAAATATGAACCGGAAGACTTCCAAAAAGTCTTCCGGTAAACAAACGAAAAAATATGAACCGGAAGACTTCCAAAAAGTCTTCCGGTAAACATACGAAAAAAATTGTGAACCGGAAGAAGTCTTCCGGTAAACAAATAAAAAAATATAAAAAAATTAAAAAATAATAAATTTTTATAGAAGGATATTTTGGTCCAAAATTTTTTAATGTAGAGGTATAGGTACAAGTGTAGGGGTATGAGGTAAAACTTCCTTTACATAAGCCTCACATCACATAATTTTAAGATATACATTATTCTAATTGTTGTGAATTAGGTTGTCTTTAAACAAAGTATAAACAATTTCTTTATGATCAAAAAACACACAAGGGTTAGGGTTAAGGAAAAACAAGGAGAACAACAAGGATTGGTTATAACTGCTATTCTTTACTTTCTCTATAAAATAAATTACAAGTACTAAAGAATAACAAATAACCTTCTCACCTAATTACGTTTTGTCACGCCACCAAGATGAGAGACTAGTATGCTATTTATAATAAAACCTAACATACTAAACTAATGGTTTTTTTATAACAATTATCCATTACAAGCTAACTTAGGGTACAAACTAACTTAAGCAATTAGATCCTTAACACAAGGCCCAATTCGGTAACTACATACTAGAACACAATTCGACTACAACATATAGGTATTTGACAACATCATGTGAGTAAACTTCGACGACATGCTAACTAGAGTTTGATCCAATAACTCACAAATCTCCACCTTAGATCTAACTCTACCAGTAAGAAACGAACTAGCTTTTTTCATGCAGCTTTATCAACTACATACAGTGGAAAAACTTGCAACTGGGCAACATCTTGGTGATCATATCAGCAGTATTATGATCTGTCGAAGCCTTCAACACTTGGACTTCTCCATACTCGATTACCGCTCTGACAAAATGCAGTCTCACATCAATGTATTTGGTTTGCTCATGATAGACTGAATTCTTCGACATGTGTATTGCACTTTGACTATCACATTTAACATTGACAACTCGACCTTGAAGTTTCAGCTCCTTTGCAAAACCTTCAAGCTACAATGCTTCCTTCACAACTTCAGTTAGGGCAATATATTCTGCTTCAGGGGTTGATAAAGCAACAACCTTCTGAAGATAGTGAACACATATCCAGAAATAGATTTTCTAGAACCCGTACACCCTGCATAATCAGAGTCAACATATCCTTCGATTGCTGCTTTACTATCTTCACCCAAGTAGGGCTGGAAATGAGTCGAGTCGAGTCGAACTCACCTCAGCTCGGCTCGACTCGTTAAGAATTGTTCGAATTCGAGTTCGAGTTCGAGTTCGACACGAACTTTTTTTTAAGCTCAAACTCGACTCGTTATAAGTTCACGAACAGTTCGGCTCGACTCGTTAGGTTCATCTCATTAGGTTCAGCTCACATGGTTCACGAACTTAAAAACTATTTTTTTAAATATATATATTTTTTAGTATATTTGACATTTTAAATAAATATATATTTTTAAAATAAAATATTAAAATAAAATAAAAGTTATCATATTGAAATTTAACTTTATCTTCGAAATCTACTACTTCAAAACCTACACAACTTTCAAGAGATACATTTGAGAGTCTAATTCAAAAACTAATAAATTGAAGATTAAATTTGTCTAAGATTTGAAGTAAATATTTAAACCTAATCTTAAAGACAGTATAATTCTTTTCATATGTAATCGAGTTGACTCATGAACCTAACGAGTCGAACTATGTATAGTTCAAGTTCAGCTCATTTAGTTAACGAACTTAATTTTTCGCTCATACTCAACTCATTTGGTTCATGAACCTAGTTCAACGATTTAATTGTCGAGTCGAATTCCGAACTATCTTCGAGTTGGTTTGGTTCATTGCCAGCCCTACACCCAAGACTCCACCATAAATTAGGATTCTATTTAGAGACCCATTTATGTACCTTAGAATCCACTTCAATGCTTTCTAGTGAGCCTTTCTAGGATTCTCCATGTACCTGCTTACAAGACTTACTGTATATGCTATGTCAGGTCTAGTGCAAACCATAACATACATCAAAGAGCCTACTATATTAGCATATGAAATGCTATTCATATAATCTCTTTTGATATCAGTACTGGGACACTGATCTGTACTCAGCTTGAATTGAGGGTTTGTCGGAGTCACAACAGGCTTTGAATTCGACATACCATATTTTTCGAGAATCTTTCGTAGGTAAGCCTCTTGAGATAAGCATAATTTCGACTACTTTCTATCTCTTTGGATATCAATTTTAAGAATCCTAGACACAACTCCTAGATCCTTCATGTCGAACTTCTTATTGGGTTCAACATTCACCCTCATTACATCTTCGACATTGTTGCTTGTTATTAAAAATATCATCCACATAAAGCAACAAAAAAAATGAATTACCAGGTCGAAATTTGAAGTAAACACACTAGTCAAATTGACTTCTAATGAAACTTATGCATGCCATGAACTTGTCGAATCTTCTATTCCACTGTCGAGGAGATTGTTTCAGTCCATATAAAGATCTCTTCATCTTGCACACATAATCGTCCTTCCCCTTTTCGACATACCCTTCAGTTTGCCTCATCAGGATTGTTTAATCTAGATCACCATATAAGAATGCAATCTTCACATCCTTTCTGCCAGTCTAATTTTCACCCAGAGTCTTCCAACCTTTGAAATTCTCAAAAGTTTCATCCTTAGTCTTCTAGATGAATACCCATAATTTCTTGGAATAATCATAGGCCATGGATAGAAAATAACTTGC